AAAAAAAAAAAAAAAAAAAAAAAAAAAAAAAAAAAAAAAAAAAAAAAAAAAAAAAAAAAAAAGTTTAATTTATTATCTAATTTTTTTTATTCGAACATAAAATTTGGAGGAAAATTTTAAAAATTTTCTTGAACCAAATTTCTTTCCTTTATGGAATTAATTAGTATAATTACCATAAGTCAATTTCAAATAACGAGGATTTAATTTTAAAATATTAAAATATAAGAAATTAAATTTAAACATTTTAAATATTATAGATGGAATTTCTACCTTAAATTAATATTTCTTTTTCCTTTATGAAACGTGGCCCATCGCGAGATTCAAATTTAAAATTCTAATAAAACTTATCGTAAAGGCGATATATTGAATGAATTTCTCGTCAAAATGTCACGTAAAATAAACAGAGATAAAACAAAAATAAGGAATACTATAAAAAGTCAACACTTTGACTCTCTCTCTCTCTCTCTAACGCCGTCTTTACTCTTTCTCTCTCTTATTTCGTTAATTTGTTTCCCTCCGTTTCAAACTGTTTAAAAAACCAGTAAAATTCCTTTTTCGTGTGCCTCTCCCATGGCGGACGTCATCCATTTATACCGCTTCAACCTTCTCTGAGCTTCCCACAACTCCCTCTTCTTCTTCTTCTTCTTCTTCTATCTCGTTCTTCCTCTTCCTCTGTGTGATTTCATGGAGTCTGACCCTGTTTTGACGCAGAAACAGAGCAATGTCCGCCGATTAAAGTGCTCCGTTCAAAATTACGATTGGGGAATCAGAGGACACGATTCCCTCGTCGCCAGGCTCTTCGCCTTAAACTCCGGATCGTCTGTCGCTTCCCATAAACCCTACGCCGAGTTCTGGATGGGGACTCATGATTCCGGACCGTCGTTTGTAATCGCCGCCGCCGCCGATAATGGTGGTGCAATCGACTCCGATTCCATTTCCTTGAAGTCCTGGGTTTTGGAAAACCCTAATGTCCTCGGCGATAAGGTTGTTGAGAAATGGGGGTCTGATATCCCCTTTCTGTTCAAGGTACGGCGTTGATTGATCAAACGGGTGATTGTATGTTGTTCTTCCTCATTTGGGTTTTCGTTTCTTTAGGTTCTTTCTGTGGCGAAACCATTGTCGATTCAGGCTCATCCGGATAAGGAATTGGCGAGATTACTTCATAAGGTGGAGCCTAAAGTTTATAGAGATGCGAATCACAAGCCTGAAATGGCATTGGCCATTACAGAGTTCGAGGCTCTGTGTGGATTCATCAGTGTGGAGGTAAATTATTTGGTGACAACGTCAAATCCTCCATGGATGATTAAATTTTGATTTGTTTTGTTTTGTTTTGTTTTGTTTGCAGGAGCTGAAGGATGTTCTTCGTTCTGTTCCTGAGATTTTAGTGATGATTCGTGATGCAGACAGAAACAGAGTGTTGTTGTTAGATGATCCTGCAAATAAAGAAGCGGACCTTAAGGCTGCTCTGAGGTTAGCTTTCACCCAGTTAATGTCGGCTTCCAAAATTTTGATATCCAGAGCCATATCCGACTTGAAAAGGCGACTGCATTCTGAAAGTGAGGTAGCTATGCTATGTTTTATTTGGTTTCTTCTTCACGTGATCTGTTCTTTTTGGCTATAGAATTTAGGAACCACTGTTTATCTCTGGCCATAACTCTTCATTCTCTGTTACTGTGGCGTTGAAGAACTTGTAGTTGTGTTTGCATATGCTCTGTAGTATTGTTTTCTTTGAAAAAAAGATAGTAGAGATGTAGAGAACCACGGCTATTAGATATTGTCCCCTTTGGAGATAGTAGATATTGACTTCTTTGAGCTTTCACTTCTAGTTTCTCTGGGTTTCTTCAACCTAGGTGGGATCTCACAATCCACCCTCCTTGGGGGGCTAGCGTCCTCGCTGGCACACCGCCTGGTGTTTGACTCTAATATCATTTATAGCAGCTCCTCACAATCCACTCTCCTTGGGGGCCAGCGTCCTTGCTGGCACATGTTTGGCTCTAACATCATTTATAACAGCATAAGTTCACCAATAATAGATATTATTCTCTTTGGGTACATTGCCAAGTGTTTAGCTTTGATACCATTTATAACACCTCAAGTCCACCACTAAACAGATATTATTCTCTTTGGGCTTTTCCTTCGAGACTTTCTCTCAAGGTTTTAAAACGTGTCTATTAGGGAGAGGTTTCCACCTTGTAAGGAATGCTTCGTTCTCCTCTCTAACCAACGTAGGATCTCACACTTCAACAGGGCAGGATATTGCCCTGTTGTTCAAGTTTGAAGTACAATTGACAACGGCCAGACTTTTGGAGTATAACATTCATGATTTGTTCATTTAATCTTTCTTCAGGTGAGGCAACTAACTGCTAAGGAACTTTTGGTTGTACGTCTGGAGAAGCAATATCCTGATGATGTTGGCATCATAGCAGCCTTTTTCTTAAATCATGTGAAGCTTAATCCTGGAGAAGCTCTGTACCTTGGGGCAAATGAGCCTCATGCATATATAAGCGGCGAGTGTATCGAGTGCATGGCAACATCTGATAACGTCATCCGGGCTGGCCTTACTCCCAAGTTTCGCGATGTCCATACTCTCTGTGCCATGTTTACTTACAAACAGGTGAACTTCTCCACTGAACCATTACAACCATTTCCCTAACCAAACTTCATATCAACTTCAAGCAACAATACAGCGTTCTTGGATGTTCATCCATCGACAACCGAAAAAGTTACCCTTATTTTCTTGGATCTGCAGGGCTTCCCTGAAATCCTCCAAGGAGTTCATGTGAATCAATACATAACAAAGTATGTTCCACCATTTGACGAATTCGAGGTCGATCGATGTGTTCTTCCCAAGGGTGCATCTGTCTCATTTCCCGCGAGCCAAGGTCCTTCGATATTTCTGGTTGCTGGAGGAGAGGGGAGGATGCTGCCTCAAGAATCACTTAGAAGTGATGTAATCAGTGAAGGAGACGTCCTCTTTGTACCTGCTAAAACTGGGATTAACATAACAAGTAATGTTGAGTTGCTCATTTTCAGAGCAGGAGTAAACAACAAGTTCTTTTAATACATACATACACAAATGGTAAATAAAAGATTCACCTTCTTCAGGAAAAGACTCATCCAGATCCTCCAACTTCATCTACCTCCAAAGCATACTCATTTTACAAATTCGCATTTACTTCACCAAATTATACAGAACTATGAAATAATTAAAATGATTCTCTTAAAAAGTGAAGCCTATCAGAAGGCAGCAGCAATAATGGATGCAAGATCTGATTCAAGAAAGAGACCTTTTCTCAGCTAGTAATGTCATTTCCATCATTTTCATTCCAAGGAGAGCACTAATCATCCAACCCTTTGCCAGTTTCCAAGAAATTCACTATATCCTGTCTTAGAAGCATTTGAAAAATTATCAAAATGGTAGGAAAATTCTGAATAGTAAGGATTACCTGTGCTACTTTACTTGCCTTTTGCTTCATTCCATCAGTAATCTGTTCCTTCTGGAAAGTATGAATTTTCGAAGAAAGGAGGATTTGTGTACTTATCTTCATTTTTTTCCTCTTTATGGCTTTATTACTTCTTTACACGCAAATTTTGATCATTCCCTCTCTCTTTTCACGAACAGTAGTAAATCAAACCAATCGTAGATGCTTGCATTTGCCAATCAATAGTAGATGACATGTACATCCTTATCATGGACCCTGCTTATCAGAGACTTTCAACATCAGAAAATGAGGCATATCACAACTGCTAGCTATCTAGCAATAATCTTCATTTACTTAATTTTGAAGGAAAACGAATTACATCCACAAACAAATGGTAAGTCGATTTAAATTCGATTTAAATGATTCATATAAGTAGTTAAGCCTGCAAGCAAACTTTCAGAAGCTCAATCATGATAGAGTTTAGACAAGACCTGCATCACTTCAAGTCCTCCAAAGCATCTGAAGAAAGAGGTTTGAATATGGAAGTCATAAACCAGTTCCCAAATATGACAGAGAGCATGTTAGAGGACTTCAATGAAACAGACTTCTCAGAAGAAAACTTCTTGGGCTACCATTTCCAGTTACCAGAAAACACAACACGGAGCTCAATTTCTGATTTTCCTCGTGTTGCCCTGTTCAAATGTCAGAATGAGTTTCCGGTGATAACTCGAAGCAGTCCACTGGTAGATAGCTCTCAAGAAACCATGAATAGAAAAGCAAAACAAGTATTGGTAAGCTTCTCAGGAACCCCTTGTTCAGCTTTTGGTAATAACTGTAGCGTTGCTAGGAATTTGAAGGCAAGTGTCAATTCTTCATCAAATTCTGTCTTTGAGTATTTGATGTGTGTTCTTATTGGTTTCTTTGTTTACTCAGAACTTAGGAGGAAGGAAAAGAAGGAAATGTGAGAAAGAACAAGAAAAGCCTGCAGAAGTAGTTCATATTAGAGCAAAAAGAGGTGAAGCTACCCATAGTCACAGCTTAGCAGAAAGGGTATATTACTGAATTATACAATCCATCTTCCTAATACAAGTCGTTTTAAGGATTGATATTTCAGGTGAAATGAAAAATCCAATACTGAAACCATTTTTCATATTTCAGGTGAGAAGGGAGAAAATCAACAACAAATTAAAATGCTTACAAAACCTTGTTCCAGGTTGCCACAAGGTAATTTCTTTTCCTAGTCCTGTTTACCAAAACATTGAAGTCTCAAGTTCAAATCAAACTTCCATGGTATTCTGCAGACAATGGGTATGACAATGGTGTTGGATGAGACAATCACTTATGTTCATTCACTACAGAATCAGGTTGAGGTGAGGAATATGGTGCACTTTTCATAAGTATTTGTAATGTTTTCATCAAATAGCACTGATCTATTCACTTTGTTCCTGAATTCAGTTTCTCTCAATGGAGCTTGCAACTGCCTGTTCCACTTTAGGCATAAATTCTGGCATGGGAGCTACCAGAAAAGCTTCGGTAATCCAACAACTTCCTGAAAGAGTATTAACTTTTGACATTTTACTTTCTAATATTAAAAATAAAACATAAATTTACTGCAAGTATGGAATTGATATTGATGCATCCTTTATTAATTAGTGTTGAAATATTGACGTTTAAGCTTAAAGCATAATATAGCAGGGGACAAGATCACATGAGGAACAGGAGGAGGAAGAGAAATAAATAAGCAAATGATAAAGAGAGCACAGTTGGTTCCACTAGAGTAAGCCCTTTTGACTGTGGGGCATTTGTTATCTGTTCTCATGAATCTGCTTCCTATATTCACTTTCTTTCTAGGCAAACAAGATTGGTTTCTCATAAGTCCACAAAATGCTGTAAGCAAAACTACCAGACAGTGATGTATCAATTCTACATCTGCTGTAAATTGCAACCAAATACCTAATATTGTCTAGAACAGTTTCTTTGTGGGATTTTGTTACCTTGTCTGTAAATCATGTCTACATGTTCAAAAAAACTGATGAAATAACGGAGATCCTTGCAAGACTGTGATTCTTTCAACATTGCACAGTTATCTCTTGTTCTAAGCCAAATAGCTTAGGCTCTTTGAAGTTCAAATGAAAGGCAACTATATTAGCAAATGCTCCGATCGCACAATAACACACACTCGATCTAGATGAATACAAATAACATAAGAGAGAAAAGCATCTTAGACATTGCAGATTTCATCAGGTCTCTCCTATAGTATGTCCAAATCATAGGATCTGGACCAATTCCCGATACTCTCTAAAATCCAAAATCCCTCAAAGCGTAATACATTATGACACCTCCCAATGGCTCATCTCCATCACGTAAGGAGGATAAGAAGTAGTGTTTAAAGGGCAACCACCAGCTATGACGAACAGAGAAACAAATTATGGAATACCCCACATATAAATTGAACAAGAACAAAAGAAAACAGACAGAAACTATAAGGGGGCTAGCCATGGCCCTACGTACAAACGATAAGCAAAAGATCCCAAGGCCATTACCGATTAAAGAGAATAAAACTGTGGGGAATAGTCATTGGGGCATTTCAGCGAATACCTTGCATACATGGAAGTGGGGTTTCGTGGGCATTGCCATTGCTACATGTGACGAAGCAAATCAAACTCAAATCAAATTCAGATATTCTCATCCTCAGGTAGAATATTAATAAGAAAAACACGAGGATTAATAACCAAAATAAATAAAAATATTAATTAAAAAAAAGTTACAAAATTAATAATGAAAAGAAGTTAATAACTAAATTAAATAAATCAATTCATTAAAGAAAATGAAGGTGGATCTTATTGAACGCGGTATCGATTCATTTATGTACCTATCATTTACTAGAGTGTCACATTAAAAAAAAATGACTTAAAAATCTATAAATAAATAAATAAAAAAACAAACTAGCCGAACTTGTTACAGTCTAAACTTGCACCTCAAACACAGACTTACACGAACTTCAATCATTCCAACCATACACTCCAAACATGGACTTCGAAAACCCAGAGTTTTCAATTTCGACCCAACAAATTCATGGATTTCAAAATTTCAAACTATCGTACCAACCAAATGACCTCGTATTATTGTCTCTTTCACACATGATGTGTGATTCAAGATCGGATGCAATAATACAAGTACTTCTTGCATGATCTTTTTTTTTTTTCTTTTTCAATCCCTTTATTTTCCTGTCTTGTTTGAGGCACGCTCTGCATGACTTGACAAACTAGGTTATTTTACCTAAAAATCAAAGAATGGACCAAAACCAGACAACTTCGTCAAATAATAATGGAAAAATTCAATGGATCATAGTCAAACCAATGCATAGTTCTCCTCCCCTTTACCAATTTATTGGCACGACTAAGTGCTCTGATACCATGTTAGATGAACACGACTCTTCACAATGGTATGATATTGTCCACTTTGAGCATAAGCTCTCGTGACTTTGCTTTGGGCTTCCCCAGAAGGCCTCCTACCAATAGAGTTAGTATTTCTCACTTATAAACCCATGATCATTTCCTAAATTAGTCGACGTGGGACTTCTATCATCCAATGGGTTAAAAAAATTAATAAGGAAGAATATAAGTTTAAATATTGATTTATTAGGATTTTTTTACCTTTTTTTTTATATATTAAAGTTATACTGAAAAAATAAAATAATAATAATAATAATAATAAACCTCGGCTTCAATTTCCACATAAAAAATAAATAGAAAATTTTAGAGAAATAATAAAATAGACAGCTGTATGGACACAGTAGACATCTCTAGGTCGCGGCGGATTGAATTATATGCGGCCATCGTTTCGAAAATGTGGGGCTTTTCCAGGTCAGCAATCTTTTGAACTCGTCAAACACGAGCTATAAAACAGACAGATGGGTTTTAGAGAAAGCAGTCCACAAAATTCCATGGCGGAAATTCATCCCTCCGTCAACGTCCTCCACCTCTGCACGGTGCCTCCACCCCATGGCTCCCTCGTCCCCTTCTCTCTTCCGCTCACCTTCTTCGACATCCTCTGGCTCCGCTTCCCTCCGGTCCAACGCATCTTTTTCTACAAATCTTCCGCGCCCTTCGACGTCGTCGTTTCCACTCTAAAAAACTCCCTCTCCGCCGCTTTGCAACACTACCCTCCCCTCGCTGGCGCTGTCGTTTGGCCGGAAAACTCTCCCAAACCCGCCGTCCAGACCGTCCTCGGCGACGGCATTTTGTTAACCCTCGCCAAATCCGACTCCAAATTCTCCCATCTCGTCAGCGACGGGTTGCGCGAGGCGGCGGAGTTTCATACTCTGGTGCCGAGGCTTCCCGCAGCAGATGACCGGGCGGCGGTGATGGCGCTGCAGGTGACTTCGTTTGGAACCGACGGATTTTGCATCGGAATTACTTCGCATCACGCGATTCTGGACGGGAGGACGTCGACGTCGTTCGTGAAATTATGGGCTCGTCTATGTAAAAATTTGGTCGCCGGCGGTGAGTCAGCGGAGCCGGTTAGTACGGCAGCTGAAACGATGCCGTTTTATGACCGGAGCGTGATCGTCGACCCAAGGGGCCTCGAGGGCATTTTCTTGAGAGATTGGTTGGCTCATGGAGGCTCCGACAACAAAAGCTTGAAATTCTGGTCGCCGTCAATTCCACAGGGTTTGTTCCGAGGTATTTTAAACTAAATAAATAATAATAAATAATTTTAAACTTTTAAATTCTATAAGAAACGTTTATAATTTATTTTTATCAATTCAAAAATTTTGAAATGCATTAAAATATATATATGTGTGTGTGTGACATAAACAATATATAAAACTTTATTATATAAACAATATATTTTGAGTTGAATAAATAATAATAATGTTATTATATTTTAATTAATGGGAATGTTGTAATGTAATTTTTTCTTGAAAGGCACGTTTAAGTTAAATCCCCAAAATATCCAAAAACTCAAGCAATTGGTACTGAACCGCCGGAATCCGGTTCATCCGCCGGTTCACATCTCCACCTTCACGGTGGCGATGGCGTACACATGGGTCTGTACTGCGGTGGCCGATGGCTCACCCAACGACGGGGAGATATCCTTCGGATTGTCGGTGGACGCACGGCGGTGGTTAGACCCACCAGTGCCGGCGAACTACTTCGGGAACTGTCTGGTCGGCAGGACCACCGACCAGGAGAGAGCCAAGTTGGTGGGGGAAAACGGTCTGGTCACGGCGGTAGAGGGCATATCAAAGGCGATTAAAAGCTTGGAAGAGAAGGGAGCTCTGGACGGCGCCGAACAGTGGGTTTCGTTGTTAACACAGGTTTCTGGGAGCAATCGGAAGATGCTTACCACCGCCGGATCGCCGAGATTTGAGCTGTACAGCGTGGACTTTGGGTGGGGTACGCCAGCAAAGGTGGAAGTTGTGTCGATCGACGAAACCGGAGCCGTTTCTGTCTGCGACGGCCGAGACGGCGGAGTGGAACTAGGGTGGGTAGCGAAGAAAGATGTTATGGAGGCTTTTGCTGCGGCTTTTGCAAAGGGCCTTAAAGAGCTTTGAAGCTGGCGGAAAGTAAGGAATATATATATTGGTTCAATAAGTTAAGATAGCATAACATTTCTCAATGGCCATAATTAACCATCACGTAAGTGCAATATGTAAATAAAAAGTCTTCAAATACATTAATGAAATACAATAACTCTACGTTACAATAAATTGTAATCCATCCAAAATTTATAAAATGAAACTTTATTTTTCTTAAATGTGGCCTGAATTGAAATATCCTTTGATAATTTTAACAATATTTTTTTCACATCTTCATTGAAGCATATTGTATGATTGATGGCTTTTGGTTTATATCATAATGTCATGAAAAATCTTTTGAAATATTTATCATCGTCAAGTTTAAAGTTGAACATAGTTTGTAAGCCTCTTCTAGTGACCCACTAATAAGAACTAACACTGCCATGCATCGGGTGCAATGAGAAATCTCGATGTTTTGTACATATATATTTATATTTGTCTCATCGTCTCAATCTTTTTTTTCATAACCTAAAATCTTGGCTACTTGAAAATTTTGGCACAATGGATATGTAAAGAAGCATTAGACTTCTTCATAGCCTAAAACCTTGGCTACCCGAAGAGCCTAGAACGGTCGGTAATATTGTTGAGTGAATGAAGACTTTCCTTACGAACTACGGTGTTGGGTGTTCAAATCCCTTCTTGTCCACAATCGGTCCGCCTTGACCAATCACAGATCAATCCGTCTAACGGTTGCTTCGATTCGTTACACATCAGCTCGGGTTAATGGAAAAAATGAAAAATGTGTTAAATTTAAATTTAGTAGGAAGGATAAAATAAAAGGTTGAAGTAAAGGTAAATCAAACAAAAATAATTTTATCCTGGTTATTACATTGGGTGAAAAAAAGCCCTATTTTCCGAAATGGAAACAAAAAAAGATCCATTTGTTTTAGAATCTACGGAGTTGCATAGCCAAAATGCGATCATAATACTCAATCCTTTCTCGATCGTACTCTTATTAATTCTTGTTGTTCCTCAGCCGTCGACGGCGCCGATTCACCGGCGGTCAGCTTCGGATAATGATGTCACCAGGGCCGATGTCTGAGGATCGAGGATCTTCGCCTCGTTTCAGGTTTTTTTTTCTCCCCAATTTCTTGTTTCTGTTACATTGCACATTGTAGTCCCCTGTTACGTCGTTTAGAGAATTCGGAGGTATAGAAGAAATTGAAGTTTCTGAATCTTAAGGTTACTGCGATGTTCGAAATGGGAAATTTCTGCTTTGGTGGAATTGGGAATAGTCCGTAGTGAGGGACAATACCGCTTAAAATTTTGGATGCCTTAGTTTTCTACTTGATTTTATTACCTGCTCCACAGAACTTGAATGGTTATAATATGGCATGCAGTTCAGGTTTTATGACAATTTATTTGCGGGAAGGGGCTATAATGAATTGGGGAAGCGATGAAATCACTTAAGTCTCTACGTGATGCTTCCAATTTAGTTAATGAGGACAATCAGAGTTTAGTATTTAAGTTCTGGCAATCATTGATGTACAAACTGTTGGCAAAGTAATTCTTATAGTTCTATTGATTCAATAGGATGCTGCTACTTTATGCAATTTTAAAGAAGCTAAGAGGGTTGGTTTATCCACCTCCTAATATGAAATTGTATCCATCTTTGCAGACATACACCGTTGCAGATAATCCACATGGTTGGAAATTTCTTTCGGATATGGTCAATCTATTCCATGTATCGATATTTTTCTCAGACTGGAGCTTCTGTTGTACTTTTTCTGTTTTGTTGTTTGGCTCCAGCAGCCATCATATTCTTGACTTTGCAAAAACCTTGGAAGGGAAAGCCCCTTTCAAATACTCAGGTGAAGCGGAACATTTAGCTGTAAGAGCCAAATGTTTACAACTTCCTCATATTATTTCATCAGTTTCTTATTACATCTAACTTGCTCTTTTAGGTAGTTCCTTCTGTGATAAATGGTGGCATAACAGCCTTGTACTTTATCTTGTGGGGAAAGGGTCTTAAAACCTGTGGACCTCTGAGGTGGGTTACCTTTGATTATGGATACCCCTTGCTCTTTCTTCTTGGCACATACACGAATCATGATGTATGCACCACGTGAAATCATACACTTCGTGGAAAACATCCAACTAATCAGAGTGTATATATGCATTATCACACTTGTTTTTAAGATAGTTTCTTATATTCCTTGTCTTAATCTTATCGATTGACCAAGAGTTCGCTTCAATTTACAGCATATGCCTATATTTAGGTGATCATGTTTAATGGAAAACTTAGCCTCATTAGGATTTGAAATGCTAGAACTACAATTTGTGAATAGAATAAGAAAAATTGGATATTCAGTACTCGTCTATTTCTTCAAACTTATTGTTTGATTTTTATGATGTTGCTTGGTTTCCGAACCTCTTTGAAAATTCATGCTTTCACTTGGGTTGTAACTGTTAGAAGGTTCAATACTTATTACAAAAGAAGAGACCTTACCTTATTATTCTTCCGTCTCCTTGGCTTTATAATGAGCAAATGTGGTTTACTAATTCTTTAAATTTACCATAACCCATCAGATTAAGTTTTTTGGTTGATTTAATTTAACAGTTACTATTTCTTTTCTTTTCCTGTTTTTATAACCACACTTTTATCATTGAAGTTCTATTTTTTAATGACAAATTTGAACAAACCACTCTGTATGTCTACCTGGTACCATGAGTCATTTGGAGCTTATGTAGATAGTGAGTTAGGAACTTATAAAGGGATGCAATGGGAGTATTTATGGAAGTTTTGTTGCTTGGTCATATATATTTTTTCTTGCCTTCTTTCTTCGTGGTCCATCTATTTACTGTCTTCTGTTTTCTTAATTTTCTATTCTAGGGCTATACTTGCCGAGTATTCTGGTGCTGTCCTGGGAGTGCTTTCTGCTGTTTTGTACGGTCGGAGAGGCTTTGTTTGGAAAAAGGTTGTGTTTAATATACTTGATTATTCTTGGGCTTCTTTGTATTCATTTAATACTCTGTCGTAGGCTGCATCAAAGTAAGGGCTTCAGTTTAATTTATTTCTAGGATTCTACTCTGATATCGTTAGCTTCTTATTATTATGTCATCCACATAACCAGATTCTCCTTGAAATATTATATCAGGTTGGTGGCCTCATTGCCATGTTGGTATCTTTCTACTTTTTATCACAAGGATGGGCCATGGCCACACATTTTCCCTTTTATATCCTTGAAAGCTCATTTGGAACTGCATTTCATGTATGAAAATAAGAGTTGAGATTGCTATTAGTTGCGACCTTCAGAGGTTTTTTTCTTTGGTTCTTACGTTATTATTATCATTATTTATCTATTATCTCCTTTTCTTTTATCTCTCTGTGTTTTCATTTCCGTATCAAAATTGTTGTAAACTTTAACCTGAGACTACCTTCGAAAGATGGCTCTGACTCTAAGGATCAGACAGAACAGGACCAAACAGAACTAGCGTTGGGTTCGATGGAAATCGCAATTCCCATTTTTGCTGGAATTTTATCAGCTTTGAGAAGGGTCATTGCTCGACGCGTTTCACTTAAGGTTTTGTCTAATATTCAGTTTAATTTGTAATCTTCCTTTTGACATCTAAGTTAGCGTTCTGATAAGTGATTATTTTTCAATGCACCCTCAGAACCAACTTAAAAGACGACTTCATGCCATAACAATGGCTTCTGCGACTTGTTTTCTCTTTCCTTTAGCCATGTGGGACATGATCATTGTAAGTTTCAGCAATATTTGATGAATAATCTTTCTAATTCCTGAATTAGCGCTTGATTTTTCTTTATTTTCATAACATCAGGGATCAACTTTGTCATCTGATAACAGACGAGAGCTTCCTTTCTCCACCTGGGCATTTTTAAGCACTATAATTTTTGGTGTTATTCTGATATTTTACGTTGACAGCATTGCTGAAGAAAGGTAATAATATAAATAGACAGTAATTGGGGATTCAAATGATGCAAATGTTCAGTATTTGTCCACAATTCACCCCCCGCTCCCTTACATTACAGATTATTCATCAGTTTTGTTTATTCGAGGACTCAGAAAATGATAATACTCTTCTTCTTCTTCTTTCGTCTTTTCCTTTTTTTAACGGCCCAAGTCTATTGCTAGCAGATATCGTCCTCTTTGGGTTTTCCCTTTCGGGCTTACCTTCAAAGTTTTTAAAACCCGTCTGGTAGGGAGAGGTTTCCACATATAAGGGTGTTTCGTTCTCCTTCCCGACAGATGTGGGATCTCACACTTTTTTTTTTTTCTTCGCAGATTGCACGTGGTTTTTTCTTCTCCAAGACATTTGGTGGTGGCTGGTGGAAGCATCATTCTTCTGGAGACTGTATACAAGATGGATTTTTCTCTAGTCGGCTTTATTATCTGCTGCTCAATTTTGGGTTTTGGTTTGTTCAAGTTTTCATCTATTTTAAATTTGCTACAATTCAAGCCATGTGACCGTCAATCTTCCTATGCCTTTTCTTTTGTTCAATTCGATTGACTAATACCCAATACCAATGTTTGTAGGGATATATGAAGCAACTTCTTTAGACCGCAGCCGAAAAGATTCTTCTCGCAATCACGATACGTCAAACGGACTGTTGGACCGAGATCAGATGTCATCACTTCCAACTTGATATATGTATGTTCATATCATGCTTAGGTATATTTTGTTTTCATGTTCTATAACTTAAATTATTGCATCATACTTCAAACTTTAGAAATGATATCTCATTGATCTCAACATCATCACCCCTTAAAACAATTTGGTGTCTGCAGTAATCAGAAGATGGTGGTTCATTGTTACAACTGGAAAATTTTGTCATGCAAATGGACCCATTGGCCTCAAGCAGCCACATTTTTTTTGCTGAAAAGTACGTAGCATTGTATCCTTAGCCTCAAATTTATGTGTTCTTATCGCTAATTTGTACTTCAAAATGATCTGATCTGAGAGCAATGATAATTTTCATATGGTGCAATTTCTTTGTAATTATTGTTTAAGAAATTTCTTTTTGCTGCTTTGTGCACCATTTCTCATTTCCTTACTGATTCCTTCAGTCCCATTTTCATGGCTTTTCATGTCACGTCTCAGTTCCACTCTCATCTTTGCACGCAAGAAAGAGCTATGTGAACGGAAAATCCCTATTTCTTCTGTTTTCTTCTATCGATAAGGAAAGGTTGTGCTAAATTCTATAAGCATTCTATATTAATTACATTAACACTTGATTGATATTAATTGCTATGAGTGATTTTAATGATCTGCAATTGTTATGAATGATTAGATTACATGGCCAAAGAGTTGGATTGTTCATAGCTTCCAACTGAAAAAACGAAATTGATTAAGTTGTAAGTATCTCATCTTATTAGTCTTGTTTTAGTTATTCTGTCATCGATTTAGGGTTTAAGGTTTAGGGTTTTTTTATCGTGCTTTATTTGGCTCATCATAATAATTTATTGTACTGTAGTTTGTGTAATCGTAACGGTTCAAAAGAAATAAATAGTTTTTTTATGTAAAGAACCATCTATGTGTCAATAACCAAATTGAAATATAAATAAATAAATAATCTATAATTGTATATGTAACGATTTGCTTTTCGAGGGGTTTGAGTCACATGTCCTTGTTGACGTGAAATTTATAACATTCAAAAGTGTGCATGCACATTGAAAATTTAAATAAAATAATAATGAGAAGTTCATTAATACAAAACAAAAGATGGATGGATGCAATTGGATTTGACCAGGTCAGACCAGACCAAACTGGGTTGGGTTAGACTAGGTCGACCTCTTTCGTTCCCATCTCTTATCTCGAGCCTTAGATGAACTTGCTTTCTTCAACAAAGTTGTGGTACAGTTCAATTTAAGGACACCAAAAACGCAAGTCCAAAGTTTTTTAAATTTTTTTTCCTACCGACATTACCACACGTCTCCCTCCTTGCTTTTTTTTTTTTGTTGCTCGTATCTTGTTCTCAGGCTTAGATGAATCTGTTTCTTTCAACAACATTGTTGTACATGAATAAGGCGGGTTCAAAGTTTATAGGTTTTTTTTAGAACTTACAGGTCCTTTCTATCTTCTTTGTTTTAGCTTTTCTGTCTGAACCACCCCCAAATAGCTTGCTTGAACCCCTAAAATTAAGACTCCAAAGTTTGGAGGATAAAACGCTCCAAATTTGCTCAATTTTTTTTTTTCATTTACTTATTTACCTATTATTATTAGGAATTATAGTAAATTAGCTAGTTTAAATATAAATTCGTATAATTACTTAAATAAAAAATAAATATATTCCACTTAACCCTAAACACAAAAAAGAAAATAGTAAAATTTAAAATTGCTGTAATTAATGTATTCTCCAACTACTGTAAGCCAGCTAAAAGGACCACGCCTTCATCATTTTCGGTAAAAAAAAAAAACAAAAACACCTGTCAACGACGTCGTTTCCACCGGTCGTCGCCCGTTTACTCTCGCAGTATATAGGAAACCCACCAACACCAGAGCGACTTTCTCCCCTCCGGTGGCTCAAAGCTCCAGCTTTCCTCATCGTTCTTTGGGGTTCCTTCAGGTTAATCTCTTTATCCCTTCTATCACTCTAATCTGTTCTTCGCCTATTTTTATCATATCCACATCGAAATTTCTTTGAATTCTTCGAGTTTTAGCTGATGAATTTCGGTTTCTATTCCCTTGGCTGCTGTATGCCTTTCCTATTTTTGGTCGACCCTTCCTTCGTTTTTCCCGGATCTGGACGCTTCTTAGCTCCTCCTAATCCATATCCCCAATTCTATATATTCGATGCTTTGATCTTTGTTTTGTGTTCGTTCTCGTTTCGGAAAGGAGAGACCAACTTGCGTTTAGTTTGATTCTGAAAAGAGGTTGTTCGATCTTGTTCTATGTCTAGATCTCAGATCTGTTTCTGGTTGGGCAAATTTTACCTGAAATGTTATGGCACTTGATTTTATTTTGAATTAGAGATATTTGGATCTGTTGCTTGGCTATACGATCTGCTAAAATTTGGTATAATTAGGGTATTTTGAGGTTGGATAGATCTAAGTTATTGTTTGTGGTTGGTGATTTATGCAGGCGTTTCTTCTGTGGATCTGCCAGTTTGAAAGATGAATCAATTCATTTTTCAGCAGAACACCTTTTTTTCATGTGAAGAGACAAGGGGGTATGCCTCTATCTCTGATCTGAAGGACCCTGTTGTGTGTCCCAAGCCCCGGCGGCTTGCAATTCTTGCTAACAATCACATTAAACACCCCTTGAAATGGCACCAAGCTGAGGCTTGTGATTCAAAAGCTGGGGCAGACCTTCTAGACATCATTTTAAACAAGGCTAGCTCTCACTCCCCTGATTCAACTTGAGTTCTTTACATGATCTACTAATGAATGTCATTATAATGTGATTTGAATGTCGATAGGGGTCGGAACAATCTAGCATCAATGTGGCGTCATCACCTCCGTTTTATTGCGGGTCTCCGCCGAGCAGAGCTTCCAATCCATTAATCCAGGATGCGCAGTTTAGAGATGAGAAACTCAGTAGTCCTATGCCAGTATTGGCTGCAGCAGCATATTCCCCATTGAGTCTCTCGTCGCCATCATCGGCGGGGTCGCACAAAGGGGGAGGAGGGTGTGCTGCGAGAATGACGTTCGGTCTAAAACCGGCTGCAGTTAGAGTAGAAGGATTTGATTGCCTGAGTAGGGACCGGCAGAATTCAAGGATCCCTGCAGTTGCTTGAAAACCAACCTCCATGAATGGAAGTGTAAATAGAGAATGGAGAGTGGCAGCAGAGTTTTCAACCACAGGCAAGACAACACTACTTTTGTAACAAGCAGAGGAAGCAATATTTCACGATAGGGATGCATGAGAATTTGAGATCATCCACGTCTCAAGTGTAGTGTAAATATAACAAAATGTTGTTCTGTTCTTGATCATCCAAATTTGATTTTTTTTTTTTTTTTTTTTTTTGGTTTCTTTAAGGTAGCTTTGTGGGACAAACAAGCCTTATGTTGTAGAGAAAAGGTTTGGTTGGATCTATGAGTTAATGTATAGAGGTTTTTTTTTTTTTTTTTGGTTTCTTTAAGGTAGCTTTGTGGGACAAACAAGCCTTATGTTGTAGAGAAAAGGTTTGGTTGGATCTATGAGTTAATGTATAGAGGTTTTTTTTTTTTTTTTTGGTTTCTTTAAGGTAGCTTTGTGGGACAAACAAGCCTTATGTTGTAGAGAAAAGGTTTGGTTGGATCTATGAGTTAATGTATAGAGGTTTTTTTTTTTTTTTTTGGTTTCTTTAAGGTAGCTTTGTGGGACAAACAAGCCTTATGTTGTAGAGAAAAGGTTTGGTTGGATCTATGAGTTAATGTATAGAGGTTTTTTTTTTTTTTTTTGGTTTCTTTAAGGTAGCTTTGTGGGACAAACAAGCCTTATGTTGTAGAGAAAAGGTTTGGTTGGATCTATGAGTTAATGTATAGAGGTTTTTTTTTTTTTTTGGATTTTGGATTATTTGCCATGTAAATATTTATGGTCATTATTTATCCTATCACCTTAGATTTATTGAGTGTGTTAAATGATGCACTGTCCTCCCATCATGGTATGTGTCTGTCTTGGGGATTGGGGTGAATAGAAGGATAGGTGTTATTACTTATGTGTCATCTTTTGTCTTTACACGTGGGGGTCGGGGTCATTGCCCACTGTCTAGTAGGTTGTGACATTCTTCATGACTTAAACAAATTAGGACAAAGTATAAAAGAGATATCATCTCGTTGTAGAGGAGAACGGAGTATTTCTTACCTCTCTCTCTTTGACGAGTATTTCTTACCTCTCTCTCTTTGACGAGTATTTCTTACCTACCTCTCTCTCTTTGACGAGTATTTCGAAATACTCCTCTCTCTTTGTGGCTAGTATTTCTTACCTCTCTCTTTGTGGCCGAGTATTTCTTACCTCTCTCTCCTCTCTCTCTCTTCGAGATTGATGACAATACATAACTCTTACCTCTCTCTCTCTTCGTGGCTGAGATTGATGACAATTCGAGTATTTCTTACCTCCGAGTATTTCTTACCTCTCTCTCTTCATGGCTGAGATTGATGACACGGACAAACTGGCTATTGATCATATTGAAATAAAAGGCGGCCAATCAAATTTATTTGGTCCACATTTTTTTTCCAAATTTTTTTCTCAAAAGAAATAAGTGCCACGTGGAAAGTTCCATTATCAATAGTGGTACCATGAAAAAAAAACTTCTCCATTTGATAACTACTTGATGTCCACTTGGAAGTCTGCTTTGGGCCACAGACTTCCAAGTGTTTGATAAATCAGAAGCCCAATAACTATTTAAGGGCCAACAATGGGAAGTGGCCCACATTAATTAAGGCCCAATTCTATACTATATTGAATTAACAATATCAGTAAAGATTGTAAAAATTAGTATTTAATTATATATATATGAATATGGAATTTCTTACTTTAGTTTTATATTTTATTTGTTTTTTAAATATGAAATGTAGAATAAAATTATTTAAGATTTTTAAATAATTAATAATTGGTAATTGAATGAAAAAAATAAAAATAAAAATAAAAAGAAGAAGATTAGGCAAAGGTAGGTGAGGGAAAAATATAAATGCGAAATTAGTTGGAGAAAATAGTTGGGTTAGGGGTAAGGAGGCGCCCATAGTCACAACAAAACCAGAAACCGGTAACCAGAAATGGGATTCAAAATTCCGGATTTCCCAAAAACCAGGAGCCCCATCAACGTGACGGTTTGCCACGAGATTCTGGGAGCGTAAACTTCACGCGCTCTTCGTACACCCTTCTAGAAACATTCCCTGCATGAACGGCACATCTCTCTTCTTCTTCCATTTTCTGCCACGTGTCCTTCCTTTTCCTGCTCCATGCACCACTTGCTAAATTCAGCAAAAAACCAGATGGAAATTATTATTTTTTTTTAAAGATAAATATGATAATTATTTTATTTATTTGAGTTGAAATATGTATATTTATTTAATTGTTTTGCGTTTAAAATAAAATAAAATAAAATAAAATCCATGTGCATTAAATACCCTTCTAAATCAATTAAAATGAGACGGTTTTGGACAAATAAAGAGATCTAAAATGTAAATAGATTTTATTAATTGTTTTTGTCTGTTTCCTCGCCAATTACTATTTCCAAAGCCATTACTTTTATATTGTCTTGCATTTATTTTTATTTATTACATTTACTATTTACTCCTCGATAATATTCTTATAAACTTGCACGAGTTTTTAAGCATTATCGAGTTTTTATGCACCTTATCGGTATAGATACTACCTTTCGTTTCTATTAAGTCTCATCTTATTTTCCAAGATGACTATGAAACCGACGAGCTCGGTCAAGACATACTGAGAATTCAAAATTACATTTACTTTAGCATACCAAGTTTAAAACAAAAATATTTTAAGAATTCAATCAAATGATGACCACATTTCAAAAACACAATTACCAAGGTCATAATTTGAAATTCATTATTCAAATTGGATTTTAAAGCTGTGTCACATTCATATCCATGCCCGATGTCCCGATCATGCTTGTTCCAATTTTTTTTTTTTTTTTTTTTTTTTTTTCAGATTTTCA